AACCAAAATTTTGATATAAAAAATTAGTTTAATAATTTTATACCAAAATTGAAGTTTAAAAACATGTGATATTAAAATTTTGTTGCTATGAAAAATATTTGCGTATCACAATGATCAGTATGTAAATCAAAGATGTCATTTTTTGATTAATGTTAAACCAATATTAATTTTTAAAAACTAGTGAAGTAAACGTGTGAATCAGAATCCTTTGATCCAAAATCTTTTGATTAAAATTTATTTTTAAAAATTCTAAAGCCACAAGATCTCAATAAATAAATCATGAAGATAAACATTGTTTCATATTAATTTGATTTTCTTTTTCGAATTTTTTGGGATACATCCATATTAAAATTTAAAAATTTCAACTATACGATTAATGGAATAGACGGGTAAAATTAAAAAAATTTGAACCAAACATTTAATAAAAAATAATTTAAAATAATCAAGGTACAATTAATTATAATACCCCACTATCCGAAAATAAATCGAACTATCATATGCAACTCAAAACTTGCTTGAATAGTAAATAATAACAATAACCTAAAGAAATCAGATTGTGATATTCATTTGAAGAACTTTCATGATTTGTTACCTAACCTATAGAACACAATCACGTAAAAAATGAATATAGCAAATCAAATTTAAAAAATGTGTTGGAGTGTTAATAATCAAATCTTTATAATTCATTTCCTATCCTACAACACACACCAACTCCAACTCAATGGTAAAATATTATCTAAAAAAAAAGGTCCATGGCTCAATCATCTAACGCACTTCTTCCACAAAATATTTATTATATGCTTATTGCAATCTTTTCAAAATATCAAAGTGCCACTTGTGTGGGGTTCTCTTAAGTCAGTATGTCGTACCAGTAAAGCATATTTGAAACTAACCAATTTGATGTCAAATACAAGAGCATATTGGAAATTGTTTTTCATGATGAAGAGGTAACTTTTGTGCTACTGTTTATCATATATGTAGATATATCCGTTTTATTTAAAGGCTATATTATATTTTATTAACTCGTGCTTCATTTTCCTTGATCATGTAGGGTGGACGTATAACCAGGATGATTTGTTCTGTCATTATTCCAAAATTTAGAGGATTTTCTAAAGAAGGCCATATGTATGTTTTTCGCAACTATCAAGTTGATTCAAACATTGGATTGTATCGATCCACAATTCACAAGTTTAAACTTGTCATACATGGGATGACCGATTTCTTGAAGGTTAAACCCTTGATGTTCCAATTGCTCAAAATGTTGAAAGCATGTATCTAATGTTTAAGCATAAAGCCGATAATCTTATTTGAAGGGCAAGGCTATATTAGCACCGACACTAGATGTTGTCGAGTCTATCAATGACTATATGCCATCGCTGAGTTTATTTATGGTCATACGTACTTAAGTTCTGCGTTCTGATAGTACTCGCAAGTCAGATTCTAATAACAATTTTTGTCCGATTTCCACAAGCCCGAGTTCTTAAATAGTATAAAATGTTCTGGAATTCCAAACATCATTTTCATTTGGGGATTGGAACTCGCGTCATGTTGTTGTGGAACATGGATCATTTTATGTGTCTATGTAATGGGACACAGTTGGTTGTGACAAAACTAAAACTCTCCACTCATGTTCTCGAGTGTAAAATACTCAGTCAAGATCACGCAAGCGAGAAGGTATTAATTCCTAGAATGGCTATAACTCATTTTAATGTCAGAATTTCTTTCAAGTTTCAGCGCTGCCAATTTCACATTATAGTTTCATACGCCATAACTATAAACAAGAGACATTGACAATCGTTGTCGAATGTTAGTTTATTTATTAAGAAGGCGATTTCAGTCATGGGCAGTTATACATTGATGTCTCCCATGCCACCAAACCGAAGTGGTTTGAAATTATTAGTCTGTGACGACTCGTCAACAAATAAAACAGAAAACGTTGTGTACTTTGTTTGCGACCAGTTTGCTTTTATTACATATATAACAACTCTATTAATTTTAATACTACATATTTTGAATATTCCAATAAAATATATCATCACGTGCATCGCACGGTCGCGACTAGTTATGCTTTATAATGCAAAGACAGAAATTAACCATGCTATATTTACTTTACCATCAATAGGCTCCACGAAGTGAATATAAACAAAATAAGAAAGACAGCTTACCTTCCTCTGATAAATGTTGAAGGTGAGAATCTCCAATTGGGAAAGACAGCAAAGCAGTGTGGGAACTACCCTTTGTACATACATAATCAGGCCGAGAGTCTCCAAAGGTCACACAAACGTCATGAAGCATTGGTACATCCTCAAGAAAGAGGCCTTCTATTTTATTAAGTATAAGCGCAGTAAGATTTGGAGCAGAAATTCTTAAGGATTTCAAATAATTGCAGCTCCACAAGTTTCTCCAGCGAGATGAAAGAACACTTGTCCGCCCAGCTTCTTTCAATGGGAGGGAAGATAGGATGACAAGGAGAATGTCATCAGGCAACAGATTTATAAGATCATCATCATGGTAACTGTCAACACACTATCAAACAAACATTGCGATAACCCATTAAGAATGCAATAATCAACAAGTTGCATGTGGAACTCAGTAAAAACCATGTTCTTGCTTGTTAATTCTATATGAAAAAAAAAAAAAAAAAAATGGTTGAGATTACCAGGTCTACCACAAGGAAAAACTACACACATAAAATAAATCTAATTGATAATGCAAATTCATGTAAAAGGAACTAGCAAATATGTATGAAAATATTTGAAGGCAAAAGGCAATATTTATTTTCAGAAGGACTCGGACCAGAAAATAGATATTCGTAAGAGGAATGAAGGTATGCCTGAAACATAGAGCATCTGCCAAAAGAGGACGCAATTTTGAAATCGGAGACAAGATTTTCAAGTTGATAGACAATGACTCTGTCGGTCAAACAAACAAGTTCATACACATTCACTCTCTTCGTTAAACAAAAATCACAACATAAATCTTATCAAGTTTCACTCTTTTTCTGTTGCCGGATAGAAAATACGGTCTCACCTTATTCAGACTCGAAAGTTTCATCCTTTTCGATCTCAACTCAAGCTTCACTAACCGCAGATCTAAAATAGATCAGGATCTTGGGTAAAATTACATCAAATACAGGGAAATTTCTCTATTTAACAAGAGACTTTGAAGATTTGCTCGCAGCAAACCCTGTAATTAAATAAACTTTCACGGGCATGAAAGTTTATTTAATTACACCAATTATTATTAAACTAGTTTATTTAATTATGAAAGTTTATTTAATTACACCAATTATTATTAAACTAGTTTATTTAATTATAACGGAGTCAATGGTTGGCTCCTTAGCATTATTTAATAATAATAAAAAATCATAGAAATCTTCATAATATATAATTTCAAACGCAATGAATCTAAATTACATATTCACAGGTTTGGTAATCTCATCTAACAAAATTAATAATTCTTTTTATATCAAACTAGTATGTATCTCGTGCGATGTATGTGTAAATAATATTAAAGTTGTATTTACAAACAAAATGTAAGATTATACGAACAAATATATCATACATTAATAAAAGTCAAATTCGTGCAATCATTTTATCTACGTAAAAACAAAAGTTATACAAATACTATTAAAAATTGAGAACCAAATGTTTACCCGATGAAGTGTTCCATGAAAATTTAACTTGTGCAAAAATCATTGTTTTAAAATACATAATGGTTGTCGAATTTCAATTATATTGACGAGCGAATAAAGCTCTAATTTATTATCTCTGAGACGAGGTTCACTCTCTGAGAGTCGTATTCCTCTGGTTGGAGCCGACGATTAATCCTTGTTCTAAGTTCTTATTATGTTCGTCGATAAATTCCTATAAAATGTTTAAGGACAAAGCTAGGGTTTGTCTGATTTTAGGGGTTTTCACATTTTAGGGTAGTTGGTACGGAGCAAAGGGGGCAAGGTGAGATTGAGGAGGGATTGAGACTACGGTTGAAAAACATTGCTTTATCGAAGTCACACGAGAAGGTAAATGAAATTAAAGACAAAGGTGTGCGGTCTAGTAAAGAAGAATGCGAAAGAAGCCTTCTGGGGAAGATATTGGGCGAAAGCAGAGCGAACTTATTTTGCTTAAAGCGAATGCTGAGAATCATTTGGCATATAGCATAATCAGGGGAAATTAGAGAAATGGGGGTGAATTTTTTTCAATTTATTTTTAGAAACAAGGAGGATAAACAGAAGGTGGCATCGGGAGTTAATTGGATATTCGAAAACCAGTACTTAATTCTGCACGACTGGGAGGAGGGAATTTCAGAGAAACACCCCTGTTTCAATGAGCTAAATCTTTAGGTTTAGGTATGTAAAATCTCTCTCAACTGGTTAAGTCCTGAAGTTGGGCTCAAAATAGGACATATATTTAAAGATGTCAAGAATGTTATGGTAATGAAGGTAGGGGAGCCAAAGAAAGTTATCTAAGATTACTACCACAATCAACCTAGATGAACGTTTGTAGCGCCCCGTTCGAATATTAGATTTTTTCGAGTTTACTTTAATTAATGGCATTTTATTTTAATATTTATATGCTTTGATTATGTGAATATATATTATATTATTTTGTGAATAATATAATTATATAGCTCTTTCGATTTTATTTTATTGATCGACGTTTAAATTTTTGTTTTAATCGCGTAAGCCGAATTGTCGTCCTTTTTAATCCGTTTTGAAGCATTGCGACCCAAGCCACTGAACCGAACCTTAGAACTTTCAAACCACGAGCCTATGATTAATTTTATGTGAATGACTATTTTTCTCATGATATAATTATATTATTACGATTGTTTCAAAAAAATTCCTATAAATAAGAGTTTTGATTATAATAAAAATATAAATAATTAGAGAAAAAATTGTCTATATTATCTATTTTTTCAGGCTAGTTTTATAACACATCCAACCTATCATTATCTCCAAACCTACGATAACAGTGTTTGTTGCAGCTCGGAGGTAAATCTTCACACTCTGTTTAAATAGAGATTTTTCCCTTTATCTGATGCTACGTTCGACCCAAAAAAGGTGAAACCTCGATTCCAAGTTCGGACCCTAAAAGGTCAAAATTTTCAGACCAAAAAAGGTGAAATTTGAGTTGAGATCGAAAAAGATGGAACTTTTGAGTCTGAATAAGGTGAGACCGTATTTTCTATTCGGCAACAAAAAAGAGTGAAACTTGACAAGATTTATGTTGTGATTTTTGTTTAACGAAGAGTGTGAATATGTATATGAACTTGTTTGTTTGATCAACAGTGTCATTGTCTACCAACTTAAAAATCCTGTCTCCGATTTCAGAATTGAGTACTGTTTCGGCAGATAGATGCTCTATGTTTCAGGCATACCTTCATTCCTCTTAGGAATATCTATTTTCTGGTCTGAATCCTTTTGAAAATAAATATTGCCTTTGGCCTTCAAATATTTTCATACATATTCGCTAGTTGCTTTTACATGAATTTGCATTATCAGTTAGATTTCCTTATCAAATTAGATTTATGTTATGTGTATAGTTTTTCCTTGTGGTAGACCTGGTAATCTCAACCATAAAAGAAGCTGTTTTTTCCCCCTATAGACTTAACAAAGCAAGAATATGTTTTTTTTTTAATGGGTTATCGCCATGTTTGTTTGATAGTGTGTTGAGAGATACCATGAAGATGATCTTATAAGTCTGTTCCCTGATGACATTCTCCTTGTTATCCTATCTTTCCTCCCATTGAAAGAAGTTGGCCGCACAAGTGTTCTTTCATCTCGCTGGAGAAACTTGTGGAGTTACACCTCTTATCTCAACTTTGATGACTATAGCTCCATGGAGAAGATTATCCAGGACCCAAATTTTCGCTCTGTAGAGAGGGAAAAGTATGTAAGGTGGGTGGATTCGGTTCTCCAATCACACAGAGGATTCAGCTTGAAAGAATTAAGAATATGTTTTAGTTTAATCCAGTCACCGTCAGTTACGAAGTGGCTTGAATTTGCTTTTGAGAGGAACATCGAAAAGTTGGAATTGGACCTTTCAGATGGTGAAGATGCTCATGGCCCAGATAAAACTTACGTGTTTCCTCAAGAGTTGTTACGGGAAAATAGCAGAATTTTCAACTATAAAACCATAAAAGTGTTGAGCTTAAACTGCGTTAATGTCTCTGGTGAAGCTATCGAGTTTCTCTTACGTTACTGCCCATTACTCGAGCAGTTAGTTGTCTGTTTCCCCCCATTATTGTCCAGTCTTGAAGTTTGTGGACCATCCCTTGTGTTAAAGCATTTGAAGATATGGAGCTACAAATGTTTCAAATCCTTAAGAATTTCTGCTCCAAATCTTACTACCCTTAATAAAATAGATGCTCTCTTGCTTGTGGATGTTCCAATGCTTCGTGACGTTTCTGTGACCTTTGGAGGCGGTCAGCCTGATTCTATGTTCCAAAGGGTAGTTCCCACACTGCTTTGCTGTCTTTCCCAATTGGAGATTCTCACCTTGAACATTACTGATAAGAAGGTAAGCTGTCTTTCTTATTTTGTTTATATTCACTTAGTGGAGCCTATTGATGATAAAGTAAATATAGCATGGTTAATTTCTGTCTTTCCATTATAAAAATAATAACAGAGCCCTATTGCGGATTTGCCAACTGTTAAATTTGGTGGCTCACATAATACACGAATGGTTGTCAAACCAGCAATAAATTCATTGTTTGAATCATTATTTGGTTTTATAGAAAATTTTGGGTTAAATATGTACAAAAAACAAACTAAGTAATTTATAACTCTAGCATCCTATGAAATTTGCAGTGAGCCTGTATATGGAACTTACCAGTTGATATCTTTATTTATTGTTGTTGCAGGAGGTTCTAACGACGGTCAATTTCCCTGTGATGCCTAAACTTAGGAAGTTGGTCATCAAGAAACTTTTATCTGGAGTGGACTGGAGTCTTCTAGAACTAGCTCATTTAATCAAGGCATCTCCCAACTTGCAAGAATTTGAGTTAAAGGTTGGTCTATCCCAAACATGTTTGAAAATACTATCCCTACAATCTCGTGTAAACTGGTCATCATTGAATGGCTTTATGGCTTGTATTTTTTTGTCTTTTATTTTATATGTTAGATTAATGTATGACCTTTATTTTATTTTCACTTATATTTGCAGCAAGAATGGTTTGGTGTTAAAAGGTCAAATAGAGAAATTCAGAAGGGAGTTAAACAGTTTCCACTGCACCAGCACTTGAATGTTTTTTGGTTTGTAGGTTATTATGGTTGCCCGAGTGATGTTGAATTAGTCAACTACTTGTTGGAGAATTGTGTTGCGCTTAAGGAGATCATTGTTGATACCCAACCTCCGGAACCTCCCGCCTATGAGGCAGTTAATCCTGAAGATTTGAAATTGGCCGAAATAGCAAAGAGTTATGCTAAACAGCAGCTGGAGCCTCTAGTACCTAAGCACATTAGGTTATTTATATGTTAACCATTTCTGCTTTTTGGTTTCTTGTTTAATACTCAAGTTTTCATGGTTATTTATATTAGAACTAGTGTGAGTTATGATCGCTTTGTTGTGATGTTAACTTATATGTTTTATTAGTACTGTTGAATGTGGTATCTTATGTGAATATATTTGGCATCTGCTTATTTTGCGTTGTGGTACAATGTTAATGTTAGTGACTCCTTCAACAATCCCTATTATACTTCATACTATTCAATGCTATTTTGTTGTGGAATTCTTTCCACCTGACGTTCGCCATACTTATTCTTATCGTTGGATAACAAATTATTAGTGGGGGGATTGATGTGACTTTTTTAATTGATTTATATATTTTTTTAAGGTTGGAGAGTTACATGGAAAAAAATATATAATTAGGGAGTGCAGTGAAAAAAAAAATAAAATTAGAGATTGATCTTGAAAGTTAAAAAGGGTTTGGAAATTTATTGGAAAAAATTTCTATGCAATATTTGCCACAATTATTCAAATTTACCATCATTTCTAGGAATTATAATAATATATTGTATAGGCCTAATTACAAAATAGGTCATTGTCTGATGTAGAACGTGAATATGAAAGGAAAAATACGAGATATTCTTTCGATAAAACTCAATCAGATTTATTCTTCAATCTAAAATTAGTCGAATGGCTATGGAGAGAAAACAGAAATAAGTCTTAGACTCCCAACAAACCTAACTTGCTAAACAAGATAAATTTTAATAATTATTTTCTTAATCCTAAATAACATAAATAAGGAAATATAATAATAATAATAAGAAGAAGAAAGACAGTAAAATAATTAATTAAGCAACGACATCCGATCATATTTGTATAGGAACGCGAAGGCGATCTCGTCTCCATCATCCTCCCCAGTTGAGAAGGATTCGCCCATGAATCTAAACCGATCTCGTCTCCGTCGGAGCCGTCGTCGCGCAAAGGTGCCAAATGCGTCACGTGAAAACATCGGATGAACATGTACGAGAGGGCAAACGAAGACGGTAAGTATCCTGCGTGAGCCGTTCGAGGATCTCATAGGGGCTGATTCTACCGTCCGGTGTAGAAACAACCCACACAAAGTCACCCACGTCAAAGATCACGAAACGACCGTCGAACACTCCAACCAAGTCCCCACGCGACCCGTCACGAGAAAGAAATAATGTCGTCGATGGCGGTTGCAAAGGAACCGAACGCTGTATCCACGCTAGTGCATAAGGATCCAGATGTGACTCAGTCGACAACCCAAGCTTCTCCACGGCCTCATCCGAGATCACGTTTTCGCAGGACCGAAAATCAATAACAAAACTGCACACCCGGACGCTTATGGTTCACGTAGATTCGAAAGGACACCGATGCAGGCCCTCATCATTGAAAGTGACGTGTGGGGACAAAAGAGAGCGACGAAGGACAAGCGCGTGTCTCACGTCCCCCGAGACATGCATCTCATAAACCTCCGGTTCTTTGCCGAAAATGGGTGGGCCATCATATACCACGGCTGCAGAATATTCCGCTGATTCCTCGGCGAATAAAGCAGGCGTCCCAGACCCTCGTGGACAAGCCGCCAAGCTCGTCGCATCTGAAGCATTGTATCCTGCCACCAGCCCGCTGTACACCTGCGGCTGCCGCCTGCCCCATTTCATCGTGCGATCGAGGCAGCCCTCCACTGGCCGTAGCTCCGCACCCCATTGTCAGCGCCGAGCCCGAGGACATGCCCGCAGCAGGTGCCCCACGCCCGGACTGCACACCCGCACTTGCAGCACCCACTGCCGCATCCGACTGTGAGGAAGACGCAAAGGACGGACCCGTCTTTCGAGCCAACTGTTTCTCAACAATGATATCTTGTTGATATGTATCCGAAACTGAATCCGGGACAAATAGATTAAGTACATCCTGTATAACAATACTCATATCCCCCACATACCTAGAAACCAATTGGCCCTTCGTCTCACGTACCTCCACACGAGTTAAAAGGCGATAAAAGTCCTTCATATACTCATCAATCGAACGCGGTCCTTGCCGCAACTTTTGTAACTGCTGATAAACCACATGATCATAATTATAAGGTAAGAATTCACGTTCAACTGTATGTATGTTTTACGTTCAGTATATGTTAAGTATATATTCATTAAAGCAAAGGTATATTTCACAACAGACTGGTTTCTCTCTTCACAACATGATGTATGTTTTATGTACAGTATATGCTAAGTATATATTCATTAAACAAGTGTATGTTCTGCCTTGAAAAATGTATGTTTGGAAGATGATGAAGTTTGAAATTCAAATTGCTTCTCTTTCTATTTTGTAGAGAAACTGTATGCTATTTTGTAGGATTGAACTTACCATATGTAATTTTTTTTTTGTTTAATTGAAAAAACGTATATGCTACGCAATTTAAAGGAGGGGCGTTGCATTTTATTTGGAAGCTGATTTAGTACATCTTTACAATTAGTTGTCATGGAAGCTGTAAAGATGCAATTAAGATTTGCACAATCGCACAATTATAATTCTTTCCAAATCACGTAGTAAGTGTAAATTCGCCTAATTTATTGGCTTGGAAATGTAGAAGCTCAAGATCATGACTACTCAATTAGACTAACAGTTTTTGTTGCAACCACCCACATATTCTTGTACACATTGTTGAAGATTTCACCTAATGAGCTAATTTCCAACCAAAACAAGAGCTAAAATGTCTGTTGTCTATAGTTCACAAGTATTACAATGTACACCTAAGCACATTTACACATTTTTTGTCAACCATATTGTTCAACTCCCTATAGTTTCTCTTTAACTAACTCAGACACAAGGTTAACAACAAAGTTAGGTAAATCTAAATNTAGTTAAAAAAAAAAAGAGATGAAACTACTACAATTGGTCCCAAAATCTGGGGCTGACCATTATGAGTAGTCTACATAATGACTAGTCCTAAAACGACAAAGTAGGTCCAGTTGCAGCACACTTCTTCATATTTTTACAATTACTAAACCACTAAAGCAGATAGGAAAAGACAACCACCTCGTAGTAGTGTTTAACTGTAAATTCAATAATGAATTAAGGCCTTGGATAAATAAAAGACACAACAACATGCATATGATATCTTCACCAAGAGCAAGGGCAGATTTCTTTAAGCCATTGCAATAAAACCAGCCACCATACCACAAACCAACCACCAACTCTCAATCAGCTAAGAGCACCCACAATGTTTTGGGTCTTTTTAAAAAAATTCACATGCTTAGTCTATAAAAAAATATTTCACAATGCAATTAAAAATGAACTTGGTCTAGTTTATGTGGCAATAGAAAAAAAGAGACCAAGTCCACTCTTGGGTTCATTTTAGACCCAAATATGAACCTAACAATCATCCATTAATACACATTTATTTGTGCCTGTTTTTATTGGTTGATATGTGTTGTAGACCTAGTGTTTTATTTTTGCATTAGAAAGCTCTTTGGTTTTTTTTACTAGAGTTTGTCCATGTCATTCTGACTTAAGTCCAATTATATGCCACATATACCCAAAGGCCAAAGCATTGTGGGTGCTAAAAAAAACATCATTCAAAAAAGATAAAGTGGAAAAAAGGGAGAGAAAAAAAAAAGTTAAAGGTGATGCAATAATTACAGGAACCATATTCCACCTAACATGAACAAATGGAACGGAATACATCTGCCTCCCAAGAAAAAAGACAAGAAAGTGAGACTGGAGAGAGAGAGAGAGAGAGAGAGAGAAATGAGCTGTAAAAAAGAGAACTCCTACAAACAAGAAGACCAGCGCTCAACCCTAAATGGCTAAATCAAACAACACAGTTACAAGTTGGAGGTTCTCAATCTCAACAAGACAACCAAAAAATTGAACTTTTTCAGGAAAAAAAAAACACTTATAAAATTCTTGATCCAATTCCAATGGTGGCAGCAGGCCCGAAAAATTACCAATTAACCTTAATTAATACGTCTCGCTAACACGGTCAGTTTCATCCTGGTAGCCCCTGAGGCTCGAAACCTGAATCCCTTCAATACGCTTCACGACCTCAGAGATCGAAGGCCTGCTGTCTGGGTACTGAGCTGTGCAGCCAATCCCCAGCTGCAGGAGTTGTACCATCTCCTCCTCCAAACTGTTGTACCTCACGAGCTCCACATCAAAAACCTCCGAGGTCCACTCGTCCCTCACGACAGACTGGACCCACCTCGGCAAGTCAACTCCTTCCTCATTCAATAGCGAGTGGGCCGGGGCTTTCCCTGTAAGGAGCTCGAGAAGGAGAACGCCAAAGCTGTATACATCAGCCTTTTGAGAGACTCGCTGGGCCTCGGTCACCTCGGGGGCCCGATAGCCCGCGACCCGTGTAGGGGATGATGGAGGCCCGACTAGCTTGTTGAGCCCGAAGTCAGAGACGCTGGCCTTGTGGGATTTGGTGAGGAGGATGTTGGAGGATTTGATGTTGCCGTGGGAGACTGTTGGGCCCTGAGAATGGAGGTACTCAATGCCATGGGCTGCTCCGAGAGCGATGGCTAAACGGGTTTCCCAGTTTAACGGGTTTTTTCCTGATCCTTTGTTTCCTGGCCCGGTCAAGAAAATGAACAAAAAAAAAATGGTGAATTAATTTATTACATGGATTTGTAGGATGATACTTATGAAGGGCTAACTAAATGTGTGTACTGAAAAGAACACTGTATTGCAAGATGATGATCGTTGTGTTTTATTGAGATCAAACGACAAAAGAGAAACAAGCTAAAAAAGTGAATGTCTAAATTGTAAACACATTTCATTGTCGATGCAATTCGACAACTAGTATCAGTAGAGTTGTGCAGATAAAAATAAGATTGCGAATGAGGGAAACCATTTTTAGTTCGGAAATTTTAGTCACAATGTGTAACCATATCAAGGGCTTTACCTAACCAAGTTGACATACTTAATTGTGCTACTTATATCAACCAAGATTACTGATACAGTTAACAATAAATTGGATCAACAAGCAAATTTTCTCCCTAAACTCACGTTATGATCTTCTCATGACAAATATTCTAGCAAATGAACCAACCATCCAAAATCAAGCAGAAACCCCAATCCTACAAATGGAACACATAGAAAACGACAGGCAACTCAGTTAACCATGGAATAGAATCATAGTTAAAACTGAATTCAAAACCGGAAAATTTCACATTGAAGAAAAACAAAAGAACCATATCCCAACTTCTAAAAGAACCACACTCACCATGTAAAAGTGCAGAAAGGCTCCCCATTGGCATATAATCAAAAACCAGAAGTTTCTCTTCCCTACTGTAGTAATAAGCCCTGAGCGGCACCAAATTCTCATGATCCATAGCCCCAACAGCTTCAATTTTCTCCCTAAACTCCCTCTCGCCAATGGTCACATCCTTCAATCTTTTCACGGCCACCACTGTACCAACCTCTAAGACAGCTTTGTACGACGTCCCAAACGTGCCCTTACCTAAAACCTCAGCAGATGCTCTTAATAACTCCTCCAGATCAAATATCCTTGAGGCATTCCCGAAAAACACCAGCTTCTTGACATTGGCCGCTGAATTTGTTCCCATTTCACCCCTGGTGTTGCCATTCGCCCCCATTGCACTCACAGCTGAAGCACTCACAGAAAACCCATTACTAACCCCACCATTTGTTTCCTCAATCGGCTTTTCATGAGGCTCGTCTGTATGATTCTTAATTGCAGTCACATCCACGGACCTCACATTGTTTCCCTTCCTTTTTCTGCACAAGATAAACAAAGCCAAGACCAGTAGAATCAACCCCACAAAAGATCCGACTACAATTCCGGCAATTGCGCCGCCGGACAATTTCTTCTTCTTTCCGGTTTTGCCCCCCAAATCTATGTTGCCATTTGGAGCCTCGGCCGGAGACTCTGTCGGGCCCGCATTGCCAGCACATATCCTATCGAGAGGCTGGCCGCAAAGGGAAGTGCCCATAAATGCGTCCTTAGGTTTCCCCACAAGCCCTTTTGGCACAGACCCGTTTAAATTGTTGAAAGAAACATTAAACTGGTCGAGATTCTGCAGCTCGATATCGGGCAAAGGCCCGTCAAACTGATTCTCCTCCAAATAGAGGGTGCGCAAGCGGGTCAAGTTGCCGAGCCCGCGGGGAATTTCGCCGGAAAAGTTGTTGGAGGCGAGATTCAGCCTGACGAGGGCGTGGAGGGAGAGAACGGAATCCGGCAGGGGGCCAGTGAACTGGTTGCCCTGGAGGTAGAGATTCCGGAGCTGAGAGAGGCGAGAGAGATCGTCGGGGAGCGGGCCCGAGAGGTGGTTGAGGCGGAGGCTGAGGGTTCGGAGAGAGGTGAGGTTGGAGATGGTGTTGGCCGGGAGGGCGCCGGAGAGGGAGGAGGCCGGGAGGCGGAGGGCGACGACGCGGTCGCCGTCGCAGCGGACGCCCTGCCAGGCGCAGGGGGTGGGGGAGGTGTCGTTCCAGAGGAGGGGGCGGCCGCCGAGGGCGGAGCGGAGGGAGAGGAGGGCGGCCCTGTCCGAGGACAGATCTGCCGCTAGGGCGGCAGGAAGGAGAGAGAAGAGCAGAAGGAGGAGCATTGGGGGCGGGAGGAGTAGTACACACATACGCATTGTTGTGTGTGTGAGAGAGAGAAAGAGAGCTGATGAGTGAGGAGTTTCACTTTCAGTGGGAGGCGGAGTAAGCTAATAAGGGCGGAGAATCATTTTGTTGGGTGGTTTTATGGGATTGTGTGTAGAATTGGGCTTTTCTCTCTTTTCTACTCTCTAATGTATTTTGTGTGTATTGTGTTAGAGAGAGAGACAGAGAGTGGGTGTACTTTGCAATGTAATGTGTGCGTGTGAGTGTAGGTATGGTGTGTGTAAATTGAAGGAGAGATCGTCGGTATACAATCTCTTCTTCTCAATCAAAACTTTCTCGGATCTTTATATAAAGTCTATCGAACTCGTACATTTTCTGACAATCCCTCTTATCTAACAATAAATACATTGCATACGCCATAACAAAAAGATAGGGTACCCTTACCATTTCGTTAGGATTTGTAACTGTTAGATGCACATACTATAGTAATATAGATGTGCATTTAACGGCTACAATTTTCAATGGAATGGTTCCGTAACGGAATTATAGTATTTTTCCAAAAAAAAAATATTGTTTACTAGCTCTGTTGCCTAAATTTAGGTATATCAAGTAGGGCTGAGCACAGGTCTTGGAGCTTACTGAACCGTTCCGAAAACTGAACCGAATTCATCATGAACCGAGAAATATCTATTGACCGTTTGACTATCTCCGAACAGAACTGTACCGAAATTTTTTTTGGTACGGTTCTGGAAATTCATAAAATATCCGTATCGAGAACCGAACCGAACCAAAAATAACCGTACCAAACCGAGGAACCGAACAAGAACCGATTCTAATTCATAAAATCCATGTATATATATATATATATATAATATTTTATCATATTTATTTTTTTCATCTTTGTACATAATTGTATTTAAAATTAAATTGCAAATAAAATTTATATAGATTATGTCTATGTTTATAAAACTATTATAAGTTATATTTCAAATTGAGTTGCGAAAAAACATCCACTATTGAATGTAACAGAATTTAATAATTGAAAAATTAATTATTTTATTTTGGTACTGCTTGTGAAACACTATTAAATCTAAGATCTCATTTTCGAATCAATTTTTTGGAAAGAAAATTAAATTAATATACTCTTCCTATTACAAAATTTGATAGCCAACATGTTAAATATTTTATTAAGAAAATCTTTAATTATAACTTAATAAAATTTAAATATCGGTTGCTCGAAAATCGACCTTTATGAAGTAAGTATTTCACAAAAGTTGGAGAGAATTATTTATTTAGAGGTGATATATTCTAAAAAAAAATTCAAATTAGATAAACGAAAAAATAAGAAGATAAACGATAAGGGATTCTAATGATCCAAAACTTCCTTTTTATTATGATCATTTAAAAGTAAAACGAGTATATATCCCAACAGGGACGGAGTTACCCCAAAGGCTGGGGCGGGCTCCAGCCCGGTCTTAATATTTCGGTACATCTAAATGTATACTAGTAAAAATATTTTAGCCCATGTTATCTTAGACTAGCCAAGGTTTAATCTAATTTTGACCCAAAATAAATTATATTTACTTTAAATTAAATCAATAAAATATATATTTAAAAATGGTTTAAGTCTTCCGCCTTTTCTTTTAGCTCATTATGTCATTTTTCGTCTTCTTTTTCAGATTATATTATATTATTAAGATACATAAAATTTATTTGAATAATTTTATTCGAGACAATGCTTGTGTTTGACTTCTATTAGAATATTTAGTATGTTGTTGTATTTATTGATTTTATAATTTAGTTGCATATTTTTCTAATTTTTCAAATAAAGGGTACTTCACTATATACAAAAATTAATACCAAGTCTCATATATTTATGTGGCATATTCAATGAAACTAGTGCGTGGCCCGTGCGATGCACAGGAAAACAATATTTTGATTGTATTATAAATTAAATAAATAAATAACATTAATCATGATTTACCCATTATTTTTAAATTAAACCGGATTGGACACAGTCTGACCGGATGGACCGCGGTTTATAACCAATCTAGTGCTCTTGAATAAAATATTTGCTATCGAATTTTTCAACACCAGTCTGTTGGACTGGTAGGATCGATACGATTTTCTAAACAAATTTTGTTACATTAAAAATTATTTTAGATAAAATTACATATTTAAATAAAAGAGAGAATTATAAATTGTTTATCATATAGTTTAAACATTTGAATTTATAAATTTTTTAGATATTTAAGTAACACTTTTTATTTAAATTAATTACAAAAGTACTATATATATATATATATATATATATATATATATATAAGTATTATGTATTAAAATCTAAACAACCACAAATGATTTAATAAAATAACTTGATCGTTTCGATGACGGTCCGGTTCTGAAAATTTTAATTTACCGTACATTAACAAAAAAATATAATAAAATAATTATTTCGTTCACATAAATAATAATAAAATGATATATAAATATTCATAAATCATTAATCATGTTGTCATAAAAGTATTGTTAATATGATTATTTGAAGTTTGGACTACATCACATTCACGTAATAAAGTATTCAAATATTAAAATTTATATTTATGTTCAGTAATCGATTTGGTCCGGTCAAATTGATACATAACTTAGTTACCTGGGACCAGCCAAGTTGTTTCAAAGTTTTTTGACTATTTTAAATATCACCTAAATTTAATTCAATCAACGTGGGCAGTACCTAATTGAATCACCCGATTGATCTAAAGTAATTTCCTTATTTTATTTAAATATAATATTTAATTTTATGAAATAAAAAAAAATTATGATTCATATGTCTACAACAAATGATAGTATATTAAGATTATAAATCATATATCTAACGATGAATTATTTATTATATTTTATGCATATTAATAAAAAAATAAACATAGTAATTTAAAAAAAATTAAGATTAATTGATTGGGTATGCAATTTAAAGAATATTTTTAGCGTTCAATATATATATATATATATATATATATATATATATAAAATAAATAAATTGCTGAAAATAGTATATAATAAATGTGGTTTGACTTTTCTTACTACTATTTATGGTAAATGTTAATTCTTATTATATATATATAGATGATATATGAACCTTAAATGACATGTCATACAACAAGAATAAAGCGATTAGTATACCGCCTCATGGCGGTTTTTTGATAAATATATTATTTTTTCTAATTGAAATTCAAGTATATTAGAAAAAGAGTATTTGCATTTGAAAAATAGTAATCTATACTTATATTAAAGGGGGTACTATTTACCAAATTAAGTAGTCAGAAAAGTCAACAGCATTTATTGCATTACTATTTTCGTATTATACTATATAAAAAAATATTCTATTTACTATATTTACTATTCAGAAAAGTCAACTGCATTAAATGTCATTACTATTTTGGTATTATAATATTTTATTTATTTAATTTATTTATTTATTTGTTTTATTTTAAAACGGTAAGTATAATAAAAAGATTTTAATAATAAAAAAATCAAATACCAAATAAAAATGTAAACTTTGACTTATTTGATTACATTTGGTATTTGATTGTAGCAAATATATTCCTATTTAGTATATACATTAAATACTTACTAAAGTATTTATTTGTTTTATTTGTCAAAGTTAAGTATAGATTTGTTTATATTATCAAATCATAAAAAAATAAAAAAAAAATCATATAATTTTATAACAATTCTACTACACTATTTAACAATATTTTTTTTATTATATAATAAAATAATAATTAAATATTATATGGTGAACAACAATAAGTAAAACTGTTACTTTCTCTTATATTAAGAAATAAATGTATATGCTAAAATTAAATTTTTATCAGTATAAATGTTTTAGTGAGATAATATATTAATTATTTTACAAGTTAGCCCTAACATGCTCATATTTAATGTTTTAAAAGATGTAGAAAAAAAACTTATAATAACTCTATTGTTTTTTAGACTTAAACGTTGATTAAAAGGGGTAAAAATTCCTCATTTTTTAGACTTAAACGTTGATTAACACCATAGATTGAGAGTTTATATTTAGTAAAATCCCTAATTGTAATAAAAAAATTATTTTTTTTGCTATATTTTAGAATATCTTTAAATTCATTATAAAAAAAAAAAGAAAAAAAAACTACAATGAAAAAAGCAAGTCAGCTATATATCGATTTGTTGTACTCCTCAAATCACATTCACAATTTGACTACAAGGAAAGAAAACTCATTGATTAAAATATTATTTTGTCAGTAGTCTTAATGTACAAGAGACTTTAAGACTCCACTTGAATATTATAAAACTTTTATTGAATATTGCACCTTATAATATAATATTCTCCAAATAAATATATCTCGTGCTTCGCACGTACTATATATATCCCGTACATTTTTCTTTATTCATGTATATAATTATAAGCCTGGATAAATAGCCTTAAAATTGTGTACTTCGTGCATCGCACGGGCTCTGTATTAGTTAAGTAAGTAAAAGTTATGATTTGTCATATGTATAAAAGAGTACTTAATAATTCACAAGTTGTTTAGGAGGTCCATATAATTGATTTTTATTCTACAAATACAACATCCGTATTTTAATATTATTTAATGCGTTATTCATGTAATTTATAGTAATACTTCAAAATTATTTTCACTTTTATTTTTTTATATATGTGTCTAGCTAGATTATTCGAGTCAAGTACTTCATGGTTAAACTCGTGCAAATTTAATAAACGAGTTGACATGACTTAACTCATTTAATAAACAAACAGAAATGTGAGCCCGAGTTCGGAACGTTTAAACTCGTTTTGACTTCTTTAATAAACTTTTAAATCTAGACCAAAATCCAAATTTATAACCGAGTCGATCTCGAACACGTTCAACTCGACTTGTTTGATAGAAAACTCAATTAGTTGTTTGACTTTAGCTCGTTTAAATATACAAATGAATCGAGTTCGACCTTTCACAAGTCGAATTGAACTATGTTACCAGTAGTGCTGGTAGATTAAACGAGTCTGGCTCGGCTCGTTAAG